TTAATGTAACATCTTTTTTATCCTTTTAAAATAAAATAAAAAAATAAAAATAAATATATGAATTTGGTTTTGTGACAGGCAAAAAGGGTCCATTTTTCTGGACACATTTTGTGGTGATTTCTTCTACATTTTGCTTCATACCAACAAATAATGGGAACAACAATGAAAGGGATCTACAAAGGATTCAAATACACCCTATCTCAAATCTTTGGTACCATTTTTTTTTTGGGTAAATAATTTTTTTCAACCTGTACTATACGTGCTTTTGGGATTTTCAACCTAAAGAAATTTTTGTTGTAAAATGCAACCTGAACTATATATACAATCACTATTTACACGCTCGACCACATCGTGACCATACACGTGTCCTTTTTTACAGATGATCGAACGGTCAAAAAGTAGTCTAGAGTGCAAAAAATTGTATATATGTAGTTCAGGTTGTATTTTACAACAAAAATTACTTTAGGTTGAAAATCCAAAAGAACACGTATAGTACAAGATGGAAAATATTATTTACCCTTTTTTTTTTTTTTGGAAATACTACAGTCTCGTTACGGAATCATTCTCTCGGGATTTGATTTAACGGTTATAAACCCTGACGGAATGGTTCGGGACCGTAGAATCTCCCTTTTTTATTATGTGTATGTATTAATTTTTATTTATTTTTAATTTCCAAATTGTTTTACATTTAATTTTCAGTTGTGAAGGAACGTGAAATAGAGATTGGATATCCAACGGATGTTAAGCATGTGGCACATATTGGGTGGGATGGCCAATCAGGGAGTAATGCACCCAGTTGGGTATGTGTATTATATTATGTTATTATATTATACATATTTATTTCGATAATCGTTGGTTGGTCGATAATTTAATTTAATTTAATTTTTTTTTCTGTAATTTTAATATGCTTGTGAAATTTAGATGAATGAATTCAAGACGGGAGCTGATTTTTCTGTCACATCAATCGGTAATTCTGGTTCGGCACTTTCTCCATGGTCGTCGCAAGGTTCGTCGCTTATTTATTAATTTATTTATTTTTTTTTATAATAATTACGACGATGATGATGATGATGATGATGATGACGACGACAATCTTGAATCTTAAATGTACTAACAAATATATCAAAATGTAAAGTTGTTCAAGTGTGATTGATTTACTCATGATTATGAGAAATGTCGATTGGGACAAATGTGTAGTACAGATTTTGTCACGGGTTGCAATTTTTCTTCTTTATTTATTTATTTATTTATTTATTTATTTATTTATTTATTTTTTTGTGTTTTTTTCCAAACTTGAGATTTTAGTGAGAAGGGGTAAAGGGGCAAAGATTCTTTGCCTCAAAACTAGGGAATTTTTTTATTTTTTTTTTTGGCTCATATGTCACGAGGTTGTTTGCACATTGATGCAATATGCCCACTGAAAAATAGGACTTTTGGACGTGACAAGTCACGAAAAATGACACAATTACCCTTACTACCATTAGTCGAGTTCTGGGAATATGAGATCTCAGAAATGGTTTCCAAACTGAAACGACACAATTACCTTTACTATCATAAACTGTTTCTGAAAATTTTTTAGGAAGTATGAATAAAAGTCTTTTTTGCCATGTGAAATGATACAATTTTTTTTTTT